TTGTAGAAAATCACCCAAGGGCCATATTAAAGGTCTTGAAGGGCCAGATCTGGCCCCCGGGCCTTATGTTTGACACCTGTGGACTAAAGGATTACAAGCCACATACATGTATTTATCAATGCACATGTAAAAATTCCTAAATCAAAATGTGGAAAAGGGAATGTGTTTGAAAATATATCCTGCAAACGACATCTGTCTGTTTACTAATATTATTACTATTACTATTACTACAGTTTAGAAAGACAAATACAACATGAAGTTTTTTTTTGTTATGTTTTATTGTTCAAGTGCAGAACAGTGAGGGGGGTGAGAGAGGCTCTACATGCCCAGGAGCCTCCTGTACCACCTCCTCTTTCTCTTCTTCCGTTCCATCTCCAGCTCCTGCTCCAGCGCCGTGCTCACCTCCTCCAGCAGGGAGCGCTGTCTTTCTGTGCTCCTCTGCTTTTCCTCCAAGGCGCTGAATCTTTGGAGCAGTAGGGAGAGCTCTGTGTTCAGCTTCTCACGGGTGTTTACCAGAGCTGTTTTCTCTTCCTCTAAAGCAGTCTTCATGTGATGTTCCTGCTCTACCTGCTGGTGTAGAGCCCTGTTCTTTACAGTCAGCAGGGAGAGCTCTTCCTGAGTTGTAGCCAGGGCGTGGTCCAGTGCGCCGCACCTGTCCACCAGCAGGGAGCGCTCTGCCTCGAGGTCTTTACTGGTGTTCAACATGGTGGTTTCTCATTTTCTAACTGTGCTCTGCCATGTTTTTCCTCTTTCACTTCCTGCTCTAGAGCACAGTTATTTGCAATGAGCAGGCAGTTCTTTTCCTCACACCTCCTCAGTTTTACCTGCACCGCATCACATGTCTCGACCTGCACCGAGAGCTGTAATTTTAGCTCATCGCAGGTCCTCAACAGGGCGGCCTTTTCATTTAGCAGGTCGTCTCTGTTCAGTTTGTCCTGCTCGACCTGCTGTTGGAGTGCAGTGGTCTTTGTCTCTAGCAGGGAGCACTCTTTCTCTGAGGTCCTGAGTAGCTCCTCTAGTCCACTGCACTTCTTCTCCAGCAGGGAGCGCTCTAAGCTTAGCTCTTGGCAGGACTTCAGAATGGTGGCATTTTCTTTCTGGAGCTCAGCAATGTTGTTTTTCTCCTGTTCCACCTCCTGCATCAGATCCTTCTTCAGAGCCCCGTACCTTTTTTTGAGGATGGAGTGCTCTTCCTGAGACCTCCTCAGGCAGTCCTGCAGCTTCTCACGGGTCTGCACAATGTTTTGGACCTGTGTCTGCATGTTCTCGAGTTCCTGGAGCTTCTGGGCCTTCAGCTCAGCCTCCTTTTGGTGTCTGAGCTCCAGAGATGACTTGTCTTTTTCAAGTTGGGCCAGAATACACTCCAGGTGAGAGTTGCGTTCTCTCAGAGCAGTATTTTCCAAAGACTTTTCCTGGAGTTTAGAATTCAGATCAGCAGAGTCCTGCTGGAGTCTCTGCTTTTCCGTTTTCCACTGTGCATATTTTCTGCAGGAATTGTCTAGGTGTTGCTGCAACAGCGCTGTCAGGTCAGCGACCTGTTTCTCCAGTCCCTCAATATCTCGGGACTGAGGCTGGTTGTTCAGTTCATCTGGTTGGATGAACAGATCTTCTCTGGCTCTGGCCTGAGCAGCTGAGGCAGCCTGGAGTCGAGACATGACTAAAGCCATGCCCTTCTCCTCGTCCTCCTTGGACCTCTGGTGGTGTTGAGGTCCAAGCTGCTCCCGTTCTAACTCCTCAAGAGTTAGAAACTCTTGAGGATTTTGAAAGGTGTGGACCACCTGTTCTGGTGGTCCAGAGGCCTGATGTGGGTTGGTAGGTGTTAATCCCAACGCCTCCATCAGGTTGAACTCCTGGCTGTACAGGAGTTCGTCGTCCTCACTAGTGTAATCGCACCAGTCTTTGGGCATGTTTGTCTGTGGTGAGTCTCTGTGTCTCGGTCGAAGTCTGAATAGAAGTGATTTTACACTGGAACTTGTGCTACACATATAAATGAACAAGTGAAGCTTTATGATGTCATAAAGTAGAAATAGAATGTGGAACGTGTTGCCAGGTGACGCCAGGTGTTGCCAGGTGCTGTCATGTGATCAGGTCAGGTCAGGTGATTCCATAGTTGCCATAGTTACATATGAATTCCAGTATATCACAGATTTATTTGAAAGTGTTTTTAAAGGTTAAATATGTATTTTTGTGGTGTTTGAAGCGTCTGTCGTCTCCACGTGCTTTTCTCTGTGCAGACAACCAACCTCACAATATGACCGACGCCACACAAAGAGAGTTCTCCTGCCAAGATCTGGATCTTTTTATGAATAGTATTTGGAAACATATTTTCGTATGTGATTATTCCACATTATTTCTATTAAAAAAAAAAAAAAAAAAAAAAGTTTAATAGATTTTAAAGTTCCTCTCGTACTGGAGCCAGAACATGTACAACTTACTTGTTGTCCGTTGAAAGGAACGTGTGGATGTGGAGACGTAGTCAAGAGTGGTTGGACTGCGATGTGCTTCGCTTCAGTGACACGGAGTTCATTAAATATTTTCGTATGACGAGAAGAATGTTTGTGTACATTTGTGGCTTGTTGATAACGTGTAGGTCAGCTGAATGCGACCTGGCCGTTCAAAAATGTAAAAACTCATGTCCTTAACGGAGGGAATGAAATATGCAGCACTTTTTGGGCAATAAATCCAAACAGTGATAACTCTTGGTTCTCACTTACATATCCTTAACAAACTGGTTTGAATATTTGCTTCATATAGTTTTCTACCATATGGTACAAGATTAGGTTGAAAAACCTCTTACTTTTTGACTCATGAGATTTTTTATTAAGAAAGTTCATGGTAACGGAGGGAAAAGTAACGGAGGGAAAATTGTTCAAACAAGTAGAAGGTGCAGGATTTTACATCATTTGTCGCTTTTTTCTTCCGAATACTTTAATAATAGGAAACTATCTCTATAAAATATGTCAGTCCTTCCAAGCAAATTTTTTTCATTTTAAATACTTTTTTTTTTTTTGAAAAATCATGTACCTTCATCAACAGTTCAAAGATGGAATAACACAAGATCTGATGAAATACATCCATTTATTTACATGATTTGCAGGTCTGTGAAATTTGGGAACTAAATTTTGTTAAACATGATCTGTTTAAAATGTATGTAACTTTAGAACCAAAAATGATACAGAAAAAGGGTCAACAGTTTGATAAACTAGAGTACATATGTATCTGTTGAATACATTTTTATGTCAGATGCATTAACTTGAATTTGTGGCCTTGCTGTTTACTTCTGCTTGACCGGGACCATGTGAAAAACCGAGCCATTTGTAATGGTCGTCAAATCACGTCTTTAGTGATACAGCAGAGGTGTCAAAAGACGTCATTAAGGAAACAAGGGAGGGTCGTCAAATGTCGTCTTCATGGGGTAAGAGTTAAACTAAATATTCAACAAACTACAAAAGCTTAAATGTACTAGTATAGGTCCACAAAAACATTCTTGCTCGACTAAAGACGTGTCCTCACAATCAATTAGCCAATTAAAAAGGGGCGTGGCCACAACATTCAAAACTATTATGATCTGATCATGTATATGACCCTGCATGAAAGTTAAAACAAAAAACTATTAAGCAGATCTAAACTCATGATTCTCTCCCAAATAAAATGACAAGTGACAAATAAAAGTGTTGGACGACTAAGGACACCACTGACCGATCGCTGGACTAAAGCAGGGGTGTCAAACTCATTTTGGTCCGGGGGTCGTATCCAACCAACTTTGATCCCAAAGTGTCCGGATCAGAAAACTCATGTCATATAAACCCCAAAAATAACAATAAGTTCAAATATTTGTGCAGAGAAACGCAAATCTATTACAGAAATCTTTTTTAATTGATGAACTCTTTCTTATTATAATATTATAATATTATGAACAACCTGCAACTTTAAGAAAAATTCAATTTCAACACAATGTTTTAACATGAACTTGTATGTAAATAGGAATAAGTCAATTTTTGTTGTAAAATCCTGCACTCGGCTCCACTTTTCTCATGTTGGACATTTTTCTGATGAGGGTGTCACGGTCAACAGTCAAAACGATCGTCCTTTAAGAGCGTTTGGAAAGAGACAAGTCTTCATTTGTGCTGCTCTGGTGGGAGGGGCCACGTACAGAGACACTGGAGACGCTGCTGTGCTGAGCACCGCAGAAAGTTAACAATATTTTAATAGAAAATATAATAAAAATATTTTAGTAGAAAATCAGCCAAGGGCCAGATTAAAGGTCTTGGGGGGCCGGATCTGGCCCCCGGGCCGCATGTTTGACACCTGTGCTTTAGAAGAACATAACATCTTTGCCCAGCCCAACAAAATGACATCGTTTTGTTGGTTCAACTCCTGTTGTGCAGTTTGTGCGGCTGGTTCACAACACTTCAGCTGAGTTCGGCAGCGTTCTTCGCTCTGATTGGTTATTTATGTGACCGTGGTTTATCTGCTTCCTCACCGGTGTGGAGCAAGGGAAAAAAAAAAAGATGGTTTAGAGTCACAGCTGGAGGAAATGGTGAGAAAATTCATGGAGGGAGATCGTGGACATTTTATGCTCGGACGAAAAAAAGTGTAGAAAAGTCTGGAGTTATCTCCGAGACAAGTTTGTGAAAGACAAAAGCCCCCCCCCCCAAAAAAAAAGAGCTCGCAGACTGGAGGACAAAAAGAAATAGAGCGAGGGGGCAGGGCAGATCGAGGGGGCAGCAGAACATCTTTTGAAGTATAAAATGTCAGAGCTCAAACAAACTTTGTTCTTGTTCTTTTCACCTCAAGAACAAAAGCAAAGTTCTTATGTTCTTATGAAGTATGAATAGGTCTTTAGTCTTGGTGGTCTTTGCTTGTGCACATTGTCAAACTATTTTAATCTGCGCTGACATTAGTAATTCTTTAAAAAGCTGAAGAAAAAACCTAAGCCTGAGTACAGTGACAGTACAGAACCGTCCATCATGTCTCGTCCCTGTTCTCTGGACCTGCAGACGTCCCGTGGGCTGATCGACCTTCAGGACCTGGAGCAGGTTTGCCGTGAGTTCCAGCTGGAGACCGCGCCGGCCGTGCTCCAGGACCTTCTGCACTACTGCGACCTGAACGGAGACGGACACATCGACTTCATGGAGTTCGCCAACTTCCTCTGCTGGAAAGACAAGATGCCCATCAAGACCCAGGAGCAGAAGATCCTCACCGGAGGTCAGACTTTCACTGGATTGTTTATATTGTGATTTAAAATGTCCAAAATACAACATAACAATCCCAGAGTGTCATAGATTATAAATACGAAGAAAACAGAAGACTATAAAGACGAGGTTATCAACTTTTAGGAGCTTTTTAGGAGCTTTACAATCCTGTTCAAAGTTCGCTGTCCAACTCAAAGACTCAAAAACCAAAGGGAATGTTGTTTTCAGCAATTATAGCCTATTTAAAACAATAAATCAAACATTTTGATCTAAATATTTTATGTGTTGATAGTTCAAAGCCCATAGAAGTGTAATCCCCCGTCTTTAATTATAAATATGAGGAAATTATATGTTTTATTTAAATGGAACACGGTAAAATCTAACACTAGGGTTCACTTGCATTCAGCTCGTTTACTTTACTCACAGCTACGAATTTGTGGATATTAATGATTGTGGTAAAGTTACAGTGACTTTCAGGGTGAGAAAAGCACATTATTTGTCAGTTAGACTCAGGTCGACTTGAGTTAGACGAGTGACAACAACAGTGACGTGTTATTGCCGAGAGTCCGGCTACAGTTCCCAGTCTAAAAATAAGAAAAACAACACATTTTTGCATTTAAAGTAAGAAAAACAACACATTTTTGCACAAAAAATAAGAAAAACAACACATTTTTGCATTTAAAGTAACAAAAACAACACATTTTTGCATTTAAAGTAACAAAAACAACACATTTTTACACTTAAAATAAGAAAAACTACACATTTTTGCATTTTAAATCAGAAAAACAACACATTTTTACAGTTTAAATAAGAAACAAAATCAAATGTTGCTTGAATTACGAAAAACACACTTATTCCATTGGCAGATGATTTGACTTGTGAAGTTAAATTGACTCAAATAAAGTAAAATAATTTTAATTTAAGTCATTTTAATTTACCTAGATATTGTTTTTTTGTTTTTTTTTCCAGTGTTGTCAGATTTTTCAAGGCAAACAGTTTATTTATTAGATCTTACAGTGAAACTAGCCCAGACTTAAACCAAAACTAAAACTGTATTTCCCAGAAAACTCAGTGCAGAATAAATTGCGGCGTTGTTCTTCCAGAGCGTGTGAGCGGTTCTGTGTCCGACGGCGACTCCAAACCTCTGCTCAGACCCGAGGACCTGGAGCCCGTCGAACCAGGCAAGTCCCTCCGAGTCCCCCGCACCCTCACCCGGACCCGAGGAGACCCAGACGCCTTCAGCCCCTCGTCGGCGCTGATCGGAGCCGCCGCCGACCCTAAAGCCGCGACAGGTGAGGAGTTACTGACGTCTCTGAACTTTGAGAATCAGAAAAAGTTTTATGTTTTACTTAAAATAATCTGACTGAAGTGTCTAAAAGCAGAACTGTTTAAAGAGGCGCTATTACACCGAACCAGAGGATTGTTCACATATTTAGATCATGTTTCCTTTTATTGTTTTACTTTATTCACCAAAAACAACATATTAACAAAGTTTATAAGTTTTCACGTTTAAAAAAAAAAGTGATAGGAAAATAAAAATAAATCATTTCTTATATAAAGTTTACACATTCACAACTTCACAACAAGATTTATTTTTACCATAAAGTGTGAATATGTCGCGTGTGTGTTTTAAAGGAGTTTTATTTGTGTTGTAGCTGCAATATTAAATGTGTCCATGAGGTGGCGCCAAAAAGCTGCAACTACATGTGTAATATCAGTCTGACTCTAAACCCAATCTGTGAATTATGTGAACGTGTCCCTCATCCTCTCTTCTCTATCTTCTCTCTCCTCTCCTCCCCTCTCTTTCCCTTCCCCTTCTCCCTTGCTCTCCTCTCTCTCCTCTTCCCTCTTTCTCCTCTTCCTCCTCTCTTCTGTCTCTCTCCTTTCTCCTCTCTTCCATTTTCTCTCTTCTCCCCCCCTTCTGCTTTCTCTTCTCTCTCTTTTCTCCTCTCTCTCTCCTTTCTTCTCTCTTGTCTCCTCTCTCTCCTCTCCTCCTTTCTCCTCTTTCTCTCTCTCTTCTCTTCTCCTCTCTCTCTCCTCTCTCTCTCTCCTCTTCTCCTCTCTTTCTTCTCTCTCCTTTCTTTCCTCTCCCTCTCCCTCTCTCTCCTCTTGTCTCCTCTCTTCTCTCTCTCTCCTTTCTCTCCTCCCTTCTCTCCTCTCTTCTCCCTCTCTCCTCTTGTCTCCTCTCTTCTCTCTCTCTCCTCTCCTCTCCCTCTCTCTCCCCCTCTCTCTCTCTTCTCCCCTCTCTCTCTCCGTCTCTCTCCTCTCTCTCTCTCTCTCTCTCTCTCTCTCTCTCTCTCTCTCTCCTCTCTCTCTCCTCTCTCTCCTCTCTCTCTCTCTCTCCTTTCTCCTCTCTTTCTCCCCTCTCTCTCTCCTCTCCTCCTTTCTCCTCTTTCTCTCTCTCTCTCTCTCTCTCTCTCTCTCTCCTCTTCTCCTCTCTCTCTCTCCTCTCTCCGTCTCTCTTTCTCTCCTCCTCTCTCCTCTTCTCTCCTCTCTCTCTTTCTCTCCTCTCTCTTCTTTCTCTCCCTCTCTTCCAGCCCAGTATAAAAGGTGTGTGTGTGTGTGTGTGTTGTTGGTCGATGGCACAGATTGTCAGTCACGTTTCTGTCAGTCTGCCCCAGGGCAGCTGTGGCTACAACAGTATCTCCCACCACCGTGTCTGGAGTGACTGAATAAATCTCTGTGAATCGTCTTTGTGACATAAATCTGTGAAAAGTGCAGTAGAAATAAAAAACTCTCTTCCTCTCCTCTCTGTTTCCTGTGGTCCAGTCCTTCGTTCGTGCGGCCGTCCCGAGCGTCCGCACAGACCTTCCTCCTCCTCGTCTGAAGAGAGTGAGCGACACCACAAACTACGGCGACTCGCCCGCCGCCGCCGCTCTGCTCCGCCCTCACGTGCACGCTGCTCTGGGCGTGCACGAGCAGGACTTCCTGTGCCCGCGCAGCAAACAAGAGGTAACACGACAACACGCCAGAAGAGTCTTTAAATACCACCAAAAAATCTAATAAATCATCTCATTTCTCTCTGATCATGGCCAATCTGTGAGTCGTTCGTTCATTTGTTTTTCAAAATAAAATAAAAAACTATTTTCTTCATTATTTGTCTCCAAAATCAAAATGAAAAAACAGAAAATGATTAGTTTTTTCAGTTTTCAATTTTGCTTTGAAAAAATGGAAAAAATGGGTAACGGACTAAACCAGAACTAAAACAGGACTAAACTGGTCTCAGTCCTGGTCTCAGTCCTGGTCCTGGTCCTGGTCCTGGTCTCAGTCCTGGTCCTGGTCTAGTCCCGGTTTCAGTCCTGGTCTGGTCTCAGTCTCAGTCCTGATCACCCGACACTCCTGGGTCAGGCCTGGTTTAGTCCTAGTTTAGTCCTAGTTTAGTCCCGGTCCCGTTTAGTCCCGGTTTAGTCCCGGTCCAGTCCCGGTTTAGTCCCGGTCCAGTCCTGGTTTAGTCCCGGTTCAGTCCTGGTTTAGTCCTGGTTCAGACCTGGTTTTGTCCCGGTCCAGTCCCGGTTTAGTCCCGGTTCAGTCCTGGTTTAGTCCCGGTTCAGTCCTGGTTTAGTCCTGGTTCAGACCTGGTTTTTAGTCCCAGTCGGTTCGGTTTAGTCCCGGTTCAGTCCTGGTTTAGTCCTGGTTCAGACCTGGTTTTGTCCTGGTTCAGTCCTGGTTTAGTCCTGGTTCAGACCTGGTTTTGTCCTGGTTCAGTCCTGGTTTAGTCCTGGTTCAGTCCTGGTTCAGTCCTGGTTCAGTCCTGGTTCAGTCCTGGTTTAGTCCTGGTTCAGTCCGTTATCCATTTTTTCCATTTTTCATTTAAACACAAAATTGAAATGAAAAAAACGGACTAAAAGGGAAAACCAGGATTACCAACCAGGATTAAACCAGGACTGAACCAGGATTAAACCAGGACTGAAAAGGACTGAAACCGGATTAAACCAGGACTAAAACAGAACTAAAACAGGACTAAACTGGTCTCAGTCCTGGTCCCGGTCCAGTCCCAGTCTCAGTCCTGATCACCCGACACTCCTGCTTCAGTCCTGGTTTAGACCTGGTTTAGTCCTGATTCAGTCCTAGGTTTAGTCCTGGTTCAGTCCTGTTTAGTTCTGGTTTAGACCTGGTTTAGTCCTGATTCAGATCTGTTTTAGTTCTGTTTAGTCCAGTTTTAGTCCTGGTTAGTCCTGTTTTAGTCCTGGTTCAATCCTGTCCTTTAGTCCTGGTTTAGTCCTGTTTTAGTCCAGTTTTAGTCCTGGTTTTAGTCCTGTTTTAGTCCTGGTTTAGTCCTGGTTTTAATCCTGGTTCAGTCCTGGTTTAGTCCTGTTTTTTCTTGGTTTGGTCCTGGTTCAGTCCTGGTTTAGTCCTGTTTTAGTCCTGGTTTAGTCCTGGTTTAATCCTGGTTCAGTCCTGGTTTAATCCTGGTTCAGTCCTGGTTTAGTCCTGTTTTTTTTCTTGGTTTGGGTCCTGGTTCAGTCCTGGTTTAATCCGGGTTCAAGTCCTGGTTTAGTCCTGTTTTAGTCCATTTTAAATTTTGGGTTTGGAGACAAATAATGAAGAAAATTTTTTTTTTGTTTGTTTAGTTTTTTTTCATTTTCTTCTTTTTGGCTTTATTTTGAAAAATCGTTCTAGATTACCCATAATGGATTCTGAACTTTAAATGTTGTTTCCCTCGTCAAAAACAGACCTGGACTTGAAACGAAACACAACTCCAGGTCTGTTGGTGACGAGGAAACCACATTACCCGTGTGTGTTTCAGATCACGGAGATCTTCCAGAACGTCGGGCTGGACCTGTCCCCGCAGCTGATGGACTCGGTCTGGGATCTGGCCGCCGCGAGGAGCCCCGGGGGAGACGTGAGCGTGGAGGACTTCAGGAACGTGCTCAAGGAGATAAACGCCATGTAAACCAGAGTGTGGATCGGAATTTTTCTGTCCGAGCCCGGTCCACGTCCAACAGAGCAGTGATCGAAACGGTTTGTGTTCCTCTAACGGACACAGAGAAGCAAAAAACAAACTCGGGATAAAGTGAAAATAATGAGAAGACTTTATTCCTTCACCTCTCGTAAAGTGATGAATTTAAAGTGCAACATCTCATCCATATTATCCATAGACATTGCACTGTGAATCCAGTTTGAGTTGTTCTTTAAAAGTAAAAAGGCCGGAGTAGTTCCTCACGTGTGTCTGTTTACATCCACACGGATCGAGGTGAAGCTGCAGATTAACCACAGTGACTCTACTTCCTGTGAACTTTATCTTCAAACTTTTATGCTTTTAAAATCCTGTATGTGAAGTTTTGCTCCACATTTCACAAATAATAATAATCACACAGTTCTGACTTGTGTCTAAATTAGAAGAGCAGAGTCTGAGCTTTAAACACTTCAAAGTCTCAAAGTGACCAAACCAGACCAAGTTACAGGTCAGATCTGTGGAGAGACGACCCCGCTCACAGTCAGAATGTTTTTCTAGATATTTTGAGCTATAATAAAACCTGTAAATGTAAAGTAGATCTGTGTATCCTCCTTGGACCTGGCGTCCACATCTGTGCACATAAATGTCCAACACATTCTGCACTGAAAAAAAAAGGTTGCTGGATTTGCGTATAAAAGTTATGGAAAGCGGTTGCATGCAATAAAATTATGTTTAGGCTTTGAAACTTATTTCGATTCCCTCTACACATATTTTTCTCAGAACATGAACGTCACTTTTTCATGTTGATGAAAATTTGAACAAATCCTGCTGAATATGCAGATTTATCTCATGGTACCTTATCATGAAATGTATAAGTGTGTATAATTTAATTTAATCGCTCTAATTCTGTAAAAGAAAACAAAAACAGTCTTTCAGTTTTCTACAGATCTGTTTTGTCTTAAACAGAATCAAACACAGAGAGACACACAAGTACAGAGACACACAGTTTGGAGCTGGACAGTGTGAAGATTTATTCCAGTGAAGCTCTTGGTCTCTGTGACACAGAATCACACACATGATGATCACATTCTGATGATCTACTCTGTTCTACATGTTTAAATACACTTAAAGTATTTATTACTACAATAATGGACCAGAAGAGAAGAACAAGAACATTAGAAGTGTATCTGCAGAAACAAAACTCACCATGTGCTGCTTTTCTTCCTCTAAACGCAGTAAACAGGGAGGGCATCTGGTATAAAGTCTCCTAGTTGCCACATCACCCTGTAGAAACACGAAAAACTGTTTCAATAGAAGTACATTTTTGAAAAAATTTTAAAATAATTTGAGTTGGTTTACTTACTTTGTTCATCTGTGGTCTGTGTTTTGTTGGTTCTTAAACATCTTCCTTTTTACTGAAACATCAGCTGTAACATTCATGAACTTCCCCACAGCTCAGCAGAAACCTGGACGTCTCTGTGTTTGTAGACGACTCTGGAACAAACACATTCACACCTGATACAACTGTCACACTCTT